ATTTTTTTTATCCACAGTAATTTCACACTTGTCTAGTACAAATATGTCGCTTTGTTTCATAATTACAGTGTATACGTTTTTCTTTATTTACCCTCAAAAATTGGAAGTGAAACGTGACAACATGCCCCGTAGGTGGGGTACATTGTAACATCTGAGGGGCACGTTGTAACATGACCATATGACAACTTAAAATATTATCTGATCGCATGAAAAAAATATACAAGACAAACTCAAATATTTTGTCAATAAAATAAAATAATTATTTGTTTCAAATAAAATAATGGCGTTTTTTAAGAATTACAAATAATCTGATTTTGGAGTTTGACAATGAACACATTGCAACCATGCTTGGGACGGCCCACTTAAACGAGCCAAAATGCTTTACACTTTTTTTGTGCTTCACGTGTTTAATGCCTCTCTTTTGAAGTTTATTGCTTTTTGCTCTAGTTGTACATGTTTTCCCCCCTCTGATCTTTCTGGAATGCTGTAATCTCTAAATTAAACAAACATGTATAAAAATATTTCTGCAAGTCATAGGGGAGTGCAACATAACTGACATCGGCACCATCACTGAAACATTGTTGGTGTTGTTGTTTAAAATATTAAAAAACAAAAAACATTGAGTTCCATGTTATGGGTTTATTTTGGGGGAAGGTGCAAATTGTACTCAGGTATACAAAAAATTAAATAATAATAAAAAAATTGGTGTCACGCAAAGTAGACAAGCATGATATGCATGCTTTTGGAAACTGGAAATATTCCTGATCAGTGCTTCTGATCAGAAAAAAAAAGAAGAATATCCTTATCTCAAATTCATGGCTGAACAACCTAACATACAACCTCCCAAAAATATTATGTGGGTAAAATGGCCATCTAAAATATCCACACAAATAACACAATAACGTCCCATTTAAGAAAAGAAAAATAAATAAATAAATGTTCACACACCTCATTTAATTGTTTTGATTCAGTATGAATTTGAGTGTGTGTTTGTGTGCTATATTTAGCTGTATCTGAGCAAGACAAATATGCTGGAAGCCTGCTTGCACATTACATAACAATTATGAAAAAAATGTTTTGTCTGTGTCCAGTCTGGCAATTGTCGGCAGAAAGCCACTTCATGTAGCGCTGATTAACAGCACCAGCAGAATGAAGGGCTAGATCAAAAGAGCGAGGATGATGAAAGAAACAGGCTGGGCACTGGCCAACACAGACAGGATGGGCCATGGCCAGAATAGGTGCCAACATATCAGCAGGCATTAAACAGCATCTTTGCTACTGCCAGGTGCAGCAAGCTGTGCTATAGAGAGAAACACCTCCACCCTGGGAGTAATTATTAGTAATTGAAGTTGGCTTCACCGGAAATCCAAAAATGTGACGCTGGGTCACAAAATGATACATATTGTGTTCCAGTACACCAAGTATTGCTATATGTTTCCTGTTTTTGCTATTTTTAATTTGTCATACATTAAACAATCTGTCATACATCAATTGGAAATTGTATAATTCACATGAAGCTATTTACAAAAAATATTTTGATACAAATAATTTCAACCAAAATGAAACTGCTTCTTTAACATTAAAGTGTTAGTTCACCCAAAAATGAAAATTCTGTCATTAATTTCTCACCCTCGTGTTGTTCGAAACCCGTAAGACCTTCGTTCATCTTCGGAACACAATTTAAGATATTTTTGATGAAATCTGAGGGCTCTCTGACCCTCCCATAGACAGCAAGGTAACTACCACGTTCAAGGTCCAGAAAAGTACCAAGATGATCGACAAAGTAGTCCGTGTGACATCAGTGGTTCAACTGTAAAGTTACGAAGCTACGAGAATACTTTTTTTGTGCAAAGAAAAAAAAACGACTTTATTCCACATTTTCGTCTCTACTGCGTCACTTGTGGACGCGCGTTCACGACAGTATCATGAGTCATGACGCGAGCGTGTCTTCGTACTTTTCTGGACCTTGACCGTGGCAGTTACCTTGCTGTCTATGGGAGGGTCAGAGAGCCCTCAGATTTCATCAAAAATATCTTAAATTGTGTTCCGAAGATGAACGAAGGTCTTACGGGGTTCGAGTAATTAATGACAGAATTTTCATTTTTGGGTGAACTAACCCTTTAAAGGTATTATTCACCCCAAAATGAATATTCTGTCATAATTTACCCTCGAGTTATGACTTGATCTGTGAAACTTACAAGGGGGTAGTATTAAGCATAATGTTACTTAGTCTCTGTGCACTTCCATTAGCCTATATGAAAAAAATAAAAATAAAAATTTGCATTGAGAGTGAATGGTGAAACATATCTTTTTACATCTGACTGAAGTAAAAAGGAGTTGTGTTTACTGACAAGAAGGTTAATAAATAATGGCTGAATTTTCATTTTTGGGTGAACTAATTCCTTGAATATATTATTTTGTATCTAAATCTGGCGATAATTTATTGGGTGTCAGTGCCATGTTGTATAACAGTTCAAAATTGTTTTTGCCAGACTAACAGTTGCACAAGTATCAGTTGTGTAAAATCAAATTTGCTTGTGGTTGTGGTTGCCAAGAAGTATAAAACTGATTACACTGTTTATTAATTACATTTCTTTTTTTCCTCATTAATTCTAAACAAAGCATTCCTTTCTATTGGTACGTAGCTCTCCTCCACAATGGACAAACTAGGTTTAAAAAGAAGAAAACGTTTCAAAATCTTTTTGAAACCTCCTTTTGCCAAATGCAGTGGAAAACATGTGATGTGTCCCTGTTGATTGCTTTCATAAGCTGCATTTTATGCAGCCACATTATTGAAACCACAACCACTGATATCATGAAAAGCAAGGGAGATACATGATATGAAAGAAGTCTTTTCTGGGCCTCCACCTGAAGCCAAACCACAGAAAAGAGCTCATGTTTAACACCTTTTAATGGGGTAAAGATTGATCATCCAGGCTCTTGTGGTGTCCTTAGAAGAGACAAGAACCCAGTCATCTTTATTAGAGTGGTCGTTCCTCAGCCTGAACTTTGGAGTCAGACATGTTGCTTCAGGGGAGTCCAACATTGATGGCATTAAGAGACCCCATATAAATCTCTAATATATGTTAGGCCTTAGCTAATTTGCCATGTGTCAGCGAATTTAACTGCAAAGCACTGTATATGCCAAATATGTGTCAAACACTCATGACTAGGCTGTTTTGAGCCATTTGACACTGCTTCAAGCTCTCTTTATCACATATTGTGCAATTTAAGTTACGCTATATACAGTAGATTCATATTTACAAGGTTCCATACAGTCATGGAAAGCATGGAAATATTAGGAATTTTGAAATTGTTATTTCCAGGATGTTATTTCCTGGAAATTTATAAAATATTGAAAAGTTGTGGACATTTTTGATGTGAATATTTTTTGTTATTATATTTTATCTGTTTGCAGAGCTGTTATACTCATATTATCTGTGATCTACAATCATTAGTTATATATCCCTAAAAGAGTTTTTATCCTTAAAAAATTTGTTGTTGTTTTTTTAAGATAGATAGATAGATAGATAGATAGATAATTTACAAGAGAGATTATGTTCATAGAGCACTTTGGTGCTTGTTTGTGAAGTGTTTCAAGCGCTTTAGCATTCTGCCCTTGACCTTGTAAGGCTTGGGAGGATCCATCTCCCCTGATAAGTCAGATAAGTTGTCAGGAGTTGAGTGTATGGGTTTGTGTCTGTATGGTATTAGGGTGGGTGCTTTCAAAGAAAAAATCTATTTTTATATACGAATTTGAAGCATATGTTTGTGTCTCAGAAGACAAATGCAGATGCTACTGTCTTTACTCCAAATTTCCAACATTTGATATAAGAATGAAAAGTTTAACCCTCATAGACTCTGGACTCTCTAAATGAAACTTTAGATCGTGTCTGACGGTTAGTCTGTGATAAACTTATTTTAGACCAGGGGGCTTCAAACTGGGGTCTGGGCAAGGAGTTGCAAGAGGGTTATAATTATTATTATTATTAGAGCTGTCCCATGTTAACTGTAAAATTGGTCAGTAAAACAAAATTTATAGCCAAAAGCCCTATGCAGTTTTACAAATCTACCATTACTGTAATAGTGGGTATTATTTTCCAGAAAATATTTTAATACTTTGATTTGGCGTCAATACATTTATAATATAAAAGCCACATATTTACATTTGTGGACAACATGCTCATAATATTGTGCTTTTTCTATGTTTTTATGTTTAAATGGGTCTTTACACAAGAACTGTAGCTTCCTTTATATTTTATGAAGGGTTTTTCTCACAAGGGCATAATCATATTTGGGGTCCTTGGCATCAAAACGTTTACAATTACTGTAAAGTCAAAGAAACTGTCAAAGAAGTCAAAGAGGTAAAAGAAACTGCACTGCAGTTTTGATTTTCAGGAGGGG